CTGTAATACAAATAGTAAATTCAGTGACCAAATCGTATAAATTTCGTGATAAAATCAGTGATCAAATCATGTAAATTCCATATGAATTCCGTGCAAATTCCGTATCCAAACCATATTTTTAGTGATACGGAATTGTGCATTTTTCCGTATCCTATTATGATACGTTATTTCTAAGGAAAAAAATCGTATAAAAACTTTATAAAAAACGTATCCAATTTTTTTATAGGGAATTATTCATTAACTACAAGGAAATAATTTTAAATTATATCGCATAATTTGAATATAAAATATTAAATTCGCGGCATTTATTATTAAATTTATATAGTTCAGCATTTAATTATATAATATAGTTAATATTATACAGTATTTATTTATTTTGGTTATTTAGGACTAGATTAACTGTAATTTAAATTTAATAAATAAAGGATAAATGCTATAAATTGATTAATAAATTTTTACAAGAATCCCGTGAAATTTAATTGTTATAAATTTAATAAATGCCACGAATTTAGTTCAATAAAGCCACAAATTAAAGCCACAGATTTAATCAAATAAATCATGAATTTAATCAAATAAAAGCCACATATTTAAGTAAAAAATACACTAATTTAATTAAATAATGCCACATTTGAATTTAATAATTGCCACGAATTTAATTAAATAAATGTTACATATTAAATTAATTAAATGCCATATATTAAATTAAATGAATGCCACGAATTTTATTTAATAAAAATGATCTATAGTAAAAAAAAATTTTGTTAATTTTATCCGGGTTTCGGTTTCTATCCGGATATATCCGGATTTTTATCCGAGTCGGATAATCCGGATAGAAACCGGATATTTTTTTTAATTTATCCGGATGACGGTTTCTGCCCGGATCGAAACACTACACCTACCCACCCCACTGCCCTGTTAAAGGTTGGAACAAATGTAGGCCACCAAATATGATAAATTGACTATTATTGATAAGATTTTTTTAAAGTGAAATAAATAATAATCCTTTTTTTAATCATTGTATTCCATGGTACATTATCTATAACAAAAAAGTAAAACAAGTAGTATTAATAAACCGATTATTCTTCGTGGAACTTTAGTATTTGTTTCATGCATATTTTATTAATTTTCTTTCAACAAAAAGCCTTCTTTTAATATATACTTAATCTGTATAATTATTGAACAAAAAGAAATCATTATGTTGATTTTACGCCACTGACGCGCGATTTCTCTATTTATTTTAAGTAGAAAATTTATTTTCGTGTTTACTTACTTTTTTGAAAAAAGAAAAGGTATTATTCATACGTAAACTCAAATACATCATCATTAATTTATGCACGCCAAGAAACGCGTTTGTTCTTCTTTCTACTAACAATCCCTTGGCTTTTGTTATATATGTATTCCCTCCCCTTACTCGTTTCATACAACTTTTCGTTACTGCGCAAGTTTCATGATATTATATAAAAGCAGCCAATTAAGTCTCGAAAAAAATCTTTATAAGAATTTCATGAAATGAAAAAATTCAATTATGCCCAGTCCGTTGTTAAAATTATGTTTAAATTATGTTTAATATATACATAAAATTATGATTCATAAGCTTTTTCCTCCCATCAAAAAACCAAAAACACAAAAAAAAATAAATAAATAAAAAAATGATGAGGAGAGTTCGGTAGGTTAAACGAATGAATTAAATTATAATTCGTTAAAAAATATCATTGTACAAATAGAATTTCGTAAACGATTTAAGATTTTTTTACTGGGTTACAAAATTTTAATGTTTTTTTTTCTATATATCTACACCTTACCTTCCTTTTCGTTTTCGTTTTATTTTCTTTTATATCTCGGAGATTCTAAATTCGTATTTACTATTCCCGATTGCCGTTGAAATTTCTTTTTTATCTTTTTGAACGTTATTTTTTTTTTCTTCTCTTGTTTCTGCTTCTTTTTGTTTTGTTTTTTTTATTTTCATTATTATTATCTTCATTTTATTAGTCTTTTATTTTTAATAAATTTATACTTATTGGGTTATTTCACATGAAAATTCTTAAAAAAATTCAGGATATTTTCCTGAATCCTGAGATTCTTTTTTCATAAATGTTTACATTGTTGCTTAATTTTCTCAAGAATGTTTAAACTTTTTTGAATGAGTGCTTCGATCCGTGTACGGATTGATCCGGATTGATCCGGATGAAATCAAAAATCCGGATGAAATCCGCGGTTTGAACCGGATTTCGTCGGATCCATCCGGATTGCCAGTTTTCGGATAACTTAAAATATTTCTGAAACCAATGATCAGAATTTAACAATTTAAGGCATGTTTGATAGTGCTTGACGTTGCGCATTTAATGGTAGGACTGGATTTTTTGAAATAATTTTTTTTTATCCGGATTTTCGTTTAATAACAATTTTCATCCGGATTAAATGTTATTCAATCCGGATGACGGATTTCATCCGGATCGAAGCACTATTTTCTACTTAAATCGTGCAAATCCTCAACATATAATCTCTACGTAATTGTCTTGATGAAATTGAACACGAATCGCTTGCTTAACTAAAATTCTTTATTTATTCTTATAAAATATAATTAAAAAATTCGATAAAATGTAATAAATAGATAATAAAAATTTTCGTCCACTTTATCTAAGTATAGTTTATAATGCTTCAATATCGGGCACTAGAATCTTTTTTTTTTGTTAGTAATACGCGGCAAATGAATAAACAATAGTTTAGTTCAGTGCATGTTCATGCAAGACTTACCGTAAAAAGCTCTGTCACGTGATATCCAACAATAAATTTTTTTCGCGTGCCAATAATGTGCAATCTTGAAAAATCAAATTTGAATTTATAATAATTAGTACTTGTAATTACATATTCAATTATATATTTTATTTAATTATTAAATAAAATAAAATAATATTTGATATGAAAAAAAAATAATAAAATATTTATTTTTCTGGTTAATATAATTGCTTTATCATATAATAACCTAAAAAAAAAATGGATTGAAAAATTAATTATATTAAAAATATTTGCCAAAGAATTTATTACTGCATGCATTCAATAAAATGTTTAAACTCATAATAAATGACTGAAAATACTGAGAATAATATAGATAATATTAGCGTTGCGTTACAAATAGAAAAGATCCGCTAACAAATAAATTACGCGTTTACCATGATGATCCTTCAAGTATAATACGATAAGCATTGATTTTTTTTTAAAAAAAATAGTATTGTTTTTTTTAATACTTAAATAAAAATGTTTTTTGTACAATTAATTTATTACCAAATGAAATTTTATAGAAAATTTAATAAATTATATATATAAGCTACAAATATGTTACGTCTTTAAAAATTGTGTGTAAACGCTGGAACACACTTATACGGCGATGAATACAATAAAATATTATATAGGTTAAATCTAGAATTTAAGTATTTAACGAATTATCGTATGGTCACTATGGTCGAAAGTATAGCATTACACAATTATTACAATTATTGAACGTATCATAAGAGATCTGATACAGTAATATAATAATTACAGAGTTAAGGAAAATTTAAAAATGCAGATATTTTAACGTTAGAGTCTATTTAAAGATTTATTTTATAAATAAATAAATTACTGCATTCTTACCTTCAAACTTAGTATTATTATTTCATTTATTTTAAAAAACAAATTACTCAAAAAAAATTTTTGCGAGTGCCATTAATGAGAGTTCATCCGATCATATTGCACTATTTTCAAAAGCTAATCATATATATTAGAAACTTTTTTTGATATTGTTTCTAAATAGTTGAATTGTCGGTTAAAATTTGTATCTGTCTTGAATGGACCTAGAGTGTCTGCGACAGTTTATAAATGGCGTTACCGACTAATTTTTCTTCTTTTTTTTTTTTAATTAAATATATTAAATATTATATAATTTCGTACTAACTCATTAAATTTTTAAAAACAAAATAAAATAAAAAAAATGAATTTCATTTTTCAAATTTATGTCGATCCGTTTATCATGTGGACTTGTGGGTCTGCTGATTTACCCCAGTAACGCCACAAAAAATTTCCACACATTGAAAAAATCTCAAAATGGAAAACAGGAAAGGTGTGACGCCGGTGACATTTTGTGGCGATACTGAGGAAGATTACTCCAACACTTTTCTGCCCCCACGTGATCATAGTAAAAATATTTGTCACCCTCCGCGTTTCCCTTTTTTCATAAGTATTCTGGGGACTTGGATTTTTTTCGAGGTATGAAAAATTATTTATCACATCATTATTAATCACATGGTTAATTTCTTAATTCCGTAATGCCGGCCAAAAAGTCACGTGGGGGCAGAAAAGTGACGGTGATACTGGGGTAAATGATCTGCTGCAAAAAGTAACGAAACAATGAAACCTGCAAAAAATTAGTGGCGCAAACTAGATTAAGAAATCGAGTACTTTATTTGTAATCTTTTACTATCTATATTTCTTTAAACAAAGAACATTGACTTTGACTGATTCACATATCAACCATTTGCATTGATATAAATGGAAAAATTAATGTTATGTATGTTATGTAAAACAACAAATAACACGAGAAATTTCAAAAAAAAAAAAAAAAAAAAAAAAAAANAAAAAAAAAAAAAAAAAAATTATAAAAGATAAAAATTATAAAAGATAAAAAAATCTAAAAAAAATATTTTTTCTCAATTCGTGAATTATTTACAAAATGTCATCATCTTATAATCCAGCTGAAGAAACAATTAATTCAATTCTCACTGGATTACTTCCAGTATTGATAGTTGGTCTGTTTAATGGTTTTGAAGATGGTAAAAGAATGAAATTATCCGTGATAAATATATTTGATGATTTTGTTATATTTGCATCTATTGTCATATATCCTATAATTACAGCAATTGATTGGTATCAATATTATAGCAGCTATTACAAAAAAACAGTTATTGCATATTACACTGTTATAGCAATTCTTGGAATAATTTCATACATCCGTTTCTTACGGGTTCAATACATAAATGAAGTTAAAGAAAACGAAAACAATAAAAATGTAAGCTTGGATGAAGAAGAAACAGAAATAGATGAGAGAGGAAATGGTGAAACAAGTATAAATATGGATAATGTCAACACAAATAAAGAGAATGATGAAAAAATAAATGGGAGAGTAATTTACAAAATTATAAAAAAGTTATTTAAAAAATCTACAGGTGAAATATTTAAAGGTGAAATGTTAGCTTGCTACTTCATTTTCGTACTTACTTTTTCATCATATATTGGGTATGACGCCTTTATCAGTGGTGATCTTGATGCTCCCAACTTAAGTTTGAATAACGTTACTTTTAGTACCGATAATTTTAATAACGCTAAAAATAACGTTAACAAGGCTTTTAGTCACATGAGTAGTTATTGCATTGAAAACTTTGGAGTTAAAAAATGCAACAATTTGAGGCTAACAAATATGATAATATATTTTTCTGGAATTGTATTCTATGGTTTACATGGGTTTTATATCACAATTTTACGCATTCACAAACTTCGCAAAGGTAATTTGGGACGTTATTTAGGAGATTTTAAACATATTATCGATCATTTCAAAACAATCTTTAAGTTTTTTAAACATATCAATATAGTGTTATTAATTGTTTATCCAGCTATTGTATCTGGATATTTAATTAGCACCGATCCTATTACCACAAAAATAGCTTTTGGAATTTGTACTTTAGCTTTTACTAGATTAGTTGACCATTTTAATGAAAAACCTGATAAAATCAATACATTAATCTCCATTTATCTGAATGGCGAAGAAAATAGTAAAGATAAAGAGCAAATAGATAAACTAACAGAAGAGATAGAAAAGCTAACAAAAAAGATAAACAATCAAACAAACGTGATAAATAATCTAAGAAAAGAGATAAAAGAAAACAAGCTGAACAGAGCGGAAACGTGAATTAAGAAATGAAAAAAATTGAAATAGGAATATGAAAGAACTAAAAAAACAAAAAAAATATATTGAACAGTCTTTTAATTAGGTATTCAGTTTTTTCAGGAAATATAGAGGTGTAAAAATTTATGTTATTGTATAAATGTATAAATATTACCTGATATATATATTTTATCTTCAATTAAATAAACATTTTATTATCACATTAATAAACAAAGTGTTAAAGTTAACTTTCTTTTAATGGCTCGCATATGCGTTATTATTTGGATGATGTTCTTGAACATTGTAGAATATTGTTCCTGCTGAATCGAATAATGATGATACCATTGACCGATAAAAAGCTAAAATAGGAGGATCTGTAAAGGACCCCGAAGCCCGAGCTATACGCATCAGGAAATTTTAGAAGTGTTGATTCATACCAGTATATGCGTTAATTAATATCATCTAGTTGTTTAACACGATTTGTAATGTTCATTAACACCTGTATATTACAGAAGCATCCTATTAAAAAAATTTTAAAAAAAGAAAATTTTCGAATTTCGGGGAAAAGATATATTTTATATATCACGTGTATCACGTGATACTGAATTAATAATTACCGCAGCTGCTTCAGCTGCGGTATAACGAAAAAAAAAATTAATTCATGATACATGAGTCAACTACAAAAAATTTATATTCAATTTTGGTGCAAATTTTTGTCGAACATTAATCAATTTTTAGTAGAACCCAGTTTTCCATCCTAGAGTAACCATGTTTAACATTTAACATGTTTAATTAAAAAATCTTCATTTATAAAATTTGTAATAATAAAAAATAATAAATTAAATTCTTTATTAAATTTCTAATTTACTAAATGTATTACTTGTCCCACATACACCTATAGATTACCTTCATACATAAAACGAAATTGTATTAGGCTATAAAAATTTTTTCACTTCATTTCTTGTAATAAGATCAAATATTTCATCAACTATAACGCTTCATGGATATTGGACATGCTCAGAGCCCGCATTGTGAGCATGGCGGCAAGCCATTTATGATATAGAAAAAAGCAATTAGAAAGAAGTAATTCGATTGCTTTTTCTTTAAATCCATGAATATTTGATTGAATTTCCATTGACATTTCTCCCAGGTTGTAAGTTCAGGTATAGAATCGTTCGCGAGATATCAACATTGTCCTTTGCAGTATAACAAGAATTTGTGGAATCTGTTCATAAATGATGACAAGAAAAGAGAGAAAATATATAAATAAATAAATAAATATGTGTGTAAGCACATTAATAATTCGTAAATTATAATTAAGATTATATTATATTTACCAGTATAAATTTTTACATAATCTTCAGGTGTATTAGGAACAGGTGTCTCTCTACAATTTGAGTACAAATGTTTCTTGGTTCTGTATGAAACGAGGAATGTCCACTAGATATTTCCCATAATAATACACCCACACTATGGGAAAATATCCATGTGGACATTCCACAATCATCCTGGACGAACCAAGATTTGCTAATTTAATATTTTTTTGATGACTTAGCATCAAAATATTGGAGTGCTATATTATTAGATGCAATAAATAACATATATTAAAATTATAATATAATAACAATACAAAATAAGAAAATAAGAATGTAAAATAAACGAACTTTACCAAGTCACGGTGCACAATTCCTTCATCATGTAAAGATAATACAACATGAGCTAATTGAAATGCCATATTGATTTTATCTTTCCATGTAAGTTGAACACTAAGAGTACCGCTATCAGCGTATTCCATTACTAACGAAATTTTATTAAAAAAAATTATTTTAGGTCTCAAAAAGGGTAATTATATATTATATATATTTATATCCAAATATTTAAAACATTCATTATACCTCTTATAGTGCCGTAAAAATGAGTAATATTTTTACAAAAGTTTACTTCAATAATCTAAAACATGAATAGAATTGTTTTAAAAATTTGATATACGTTAAAATAAAAATAACACTTGTATAATAATTACCTCTTTAACAATTTCCTTTAGAGTAATAAATTTATTAAAGTAAACTTTTGCCATAATTCTGGAACCAATTCTTTTAAATTCACGATTGTTTAAGTTTCTAGTATTAAGCATTTTTGTATTGAAAAAAAAAAACCAAAAGAGCGTGATTATATGCAACTTTTATGTAGATTATCTTGGATATCGGTGTTACCGATTTGTTGATTGATAAAATATAAAAATGGCTGTGCAAAAAAGCCCCCTGGAAAATCGGTATAATAATGGCATCTAATAAGAGCTTTTCACAATACTGTACATCTTTTAATTGCGCCACAAGAAATATATTAGTATTATCAATAACTGATCAATTAGGAAGTCCTTTGTGCGACCAATAGGAATCAATGCGATCTTTCATTATGCTGATATTCATATTGTAAATTCGGTTTTGCGTTTAACTTTTCTGATTTATTTTTTGATTATCGAGACGGATTTTTACTGATAACGAACGAAAAATATTAGTAATGCTTATTTTCTGTATGAATACTGATAATTTTAAAATTTTACAATGAAAATTTTTTTCTTACTACTCTGTACTACAAATACATTTCATGTAGGTCCAATAGCTATCAAGCCTATCTTGATGGTATCACGTGGAGTAAAAATTATGGCTTTGATAGGCTGGCTATACAAGCTTTTGTCAGGTTGCTCGGTATTAAGCCATTTTTTTACCGGCTGAATGCGCATGCGGCTATGCCAATTGATTCCGGCTTTGATTTCAAATTTACTATATTTCAAAGTTTCGATGAGCTTATGGCTTTGGGCCTATATATGAGCTATAATTAACCTTGCGGTACGCATACCAAGCCATTTTACCGGCTAAATATGCATGCGGCTATGCACTGGCTATTCCAATTGATTCCCAGCTTTGATTTCAAAATTACTTTATTTATAAACTTAGATGGGCTTTGCTTGATAGGCTTTGTTAGGCTCGATCTTATCGTCCATCAGCTAAATGTGCACGCGGCTACCCTACAAAAAGAGATGCCCGGAAATTGTAACGAGATAACATCCAGAAAATGTCTAAATCGTCCGGAAATGTACCGAAATATAAAAGATTCCGGACGTCCCGAAAGACTCCGGATATTATCTGGACAATTTATTCCAGTCAAATTCCGGGATTTCTTTTCATAGAATGATCTTAAAAAGAAATGTAAAACTTCGTAATCAATTCGCTATTATTCTTCAAATAATGTTTTCAAATTTTTTGGAACCTCCTCTCCCCTGTTATTATTTATTTTAGGAAATACAAAAATTAAAATACAATTTAAAATGAAATGTCATCCTGTCCCGACTTTTTGTCCGTTAAAAGATATTTTCAATATTATACCGACATTCATGTATAAAGATTTACAAATGAGCAGACTTTATGATCCATAATTTTTTAATATTCCAGGCACAACCAAATTGTGCGACATGAACTCCGAGAAAAAGATGGAGATTAAATTATGAAAGGAAAAAATTAATACATGATGAATTTCGGGAAAAAACGGTTTAAGTTATGGAAGAAAAAAAAAGGTCGGGAAGCCATTAAAACTCTAAATGGCTGTGTTATTAATATTCAATCACTAATTTCCCATATACAAAAAATTTGTTTAATCAATTATTTGGGAAGTATCTTAAAAATATTTAGCCAAAACATAAAATTAGTATACAACAAAACTTTTTGTTATAAATTAAACTCTTTAAACTTTAAAGATTAAATCATCAGTTGTTAAAGATGTAATTTTTTAGTTTCAAAATCTGATAATTTCTCGAGGTTGCTTCAATGCTTCATCAACCTCTCACAATTCTTTCACAATATTTTCTTTTGAAAATAATAATTCAATATAATAAAATATTATATATATATATATGATAATAAAAAGATAAATACCGATATTATAATAATATTATTTTGGTTTGGTTAATAAAAGATATGGTATAAATAGAATGTTCCTATATGTTTTGATAAAATTGAGCCCCAATATGACGGTTATAGGTTTTAATATGTAATAATTAACAGTTTACATTGCTCTTATAACGAAGTAGCCGTCCTGAACATCAACTTCGTTACGAAGAATCTGAAGACTTTAATTGGTTGGTTCACTATATCGAGAGTATTTTGGCGAATACTATTGGCTTTACATCACGTGATTCGTAATAATAACAGCGATATTGTTTACCATATGATTTATCCTGATGATTTATTATTGAAGTGATCATATTAACGTTGGTATGATCTGACGGCAAGCGATTACTGTAGAAGAATCAAAGAATCTTTAAATCAAATGAGCAAGAAACGCTCCTTATTATAAAAAATAAATAAATAAATAATTTAAACTTCGACAAATCGGCTGTCGATATATCTCGTTGGTTTCTGATTATTTATGAACACGGATTATATGCAATCCAAAAAGATCGGCGAATCCGAATTTGTGAATACAATGATCATCTTAGGAAAATTTTACACAAATAAGCCATCTTCATGCACAGGACAGGCGAAAATAATTGGTTTAATTCTATCCAAGTATGACAGTAAGCAATTGACCTAAAAAAATGTAATTGTTTCCAATTTTAGTAATAATATATAAGACAAAGTAATACTTTGCCATAAAGAAAAATCCATTATTTGTAGAAATATTTACAGACGTAGTATATTTTTCGTGAACATTCTTCGGGCAATCCTCTTGATTTGACGATAATGTAATCAGGTGATTTGTCGATCAATTATTAGCGTATACCTACAATTCTTTACAACTTTTAAAAAATTAATTCCGTTAAAAAAAATATGCATTGTCCGTTTTTTTTTTTCGTGATAAATCAACTGATATTTTGGTGGATTATTATTTTTTGAGATATATACAGTATAACGAACGAACGATAATAGCCATTTTATATCCCGTTTGCGATTCTTCCTCCTAAATTCTTACGAATTTTGTAACATTTCTTACGAAAGTTACCTGGCATTTATTCAGTAATTTTATGTTTATCAAGTGGGATGTTTTTCTTTAGAGAATGTGAAAGTGAAACAAGTACCCATCAATCAGATCACCGAATCGCTCTTATAAAGATATAAAAATAGTTGAATATGCTATAAATTTACCATTTATATACAAGCAAGCTAGTATTTTTATGCAAAAGTTACAGAATTTTATTGTTCGAAGCGTAGCAATTTCCGTCTGTCCGCCGCATGATTAATGATCAGGTGTAACCAATGAAATTTTAGGATCAGTATGTAACATCATCAAAAAGATTACTACATTACTTTATTCATTACTTTATAGCAATTTATTATTTCTAGCTTCGTTTCTATTCAACATAATATTTTTTAGAAATTATAAAATATTCGTACTGAACTTACAAGTAGGGTTTTAATCGAATAATAACTTTTCCAAAAGTTCTCTCTAGACTTACAGCCCAATCATTAGTAAAGTTATAATTATTAGATAATAACTGCGTCAATAGATAGTGTTGTTGATGATAAAGGTTATAATCATATTGGGAAATAAATTTCTTGAACAAAGAAATAGAAAGAATATGAGAACTCAAAGAAGATCGCACACAATAGTTGTAAATTCGTCTATTCTATATGAGGAACTCTAAATTAGGTGAAAGTGGAATTAACGAGTTATTCAATAATTGAAGAATTAAAACACATAGAAAATTATATTCACATGGGTGTGAATTTCACTGCTGTTGGGTATGTAATATACATTTATATATCTTTTTTAAAAAAATTTTTGCGTTAAATTTTATTTTATTTACAAATGGCCTTTGTCTTTTCATCGTGAACTACCCAAAAAGCCAGTGTTTATATTATATTATCGGTACAATAGAAATGATTTATTTATCATGAATAGGTTTAGTAACTGAAGCACAAGGCGTGATACTATTATTCAATTAGTGAACCGCCACTGTTTACCGGAAAAAAATCAATAATCTCAAAATCAGCCAGCGCATACGATAAGCATATATTTCACATTCTATCACCAGCACCAGCACCCAGTTCATTGAAACAATTAAACATTTCAAATTAAAATCATCTCTCATTACTACGTGACGATCAAACTCTCTCTAGTTACAATTAGATGCAGGATTATAATAGTCAAAAGATTCTACCAAGTTCGAATTTTATTTTTTTGGTCAACATTGTTTCTTAAAATTTTCATTCAAAAATTTAGTTCGATAAATTACTTATACCATTCAGCATATTTCTGAAAACTGGAACAATCGACTAAGGAGATAAGAATTTGATTAATTAAATACTTTAACAAAGAATAAAAAACAAAGGTCAGCGAGTGGTATTTCTTCCATTTGTCTAATTTTCATCGTAGTTAGTCACAATTATTAAACCTTTTTGTTCTCTAGGTCTTTGCGGTGGATTATTTCCACTTGAGAAGGATAGTAATGGAAGGTATTACACGATTACTTTCATTATTTATGAAAAAGATTGTGCACTGTTCTACGCATATATACAGTACTTGATCAAGGTTTGCTGCTTTTAAAGAGCTTATTAGAATAATAAAATATATGATCTTATTATTCTTAACGATCCATAATATTTACTAAAATGGTTGATTTGATCTCTTTTACAAAAGGAAAAAAGTTGCTGATATTTTTACGGATGATGTTTAATTAGAATGATGGATTAAAGGTCTCGATATTTAAAACCAGTAATCTGTCCTGTACATAGCTCCGTGAAATAACATTGAGAAATCGTGATTGTGAGAGATGATACATGATCCTATTTATGGAAAAATATGATGGTGGCAATGTGGGCGTTGCTGCTGCAGGTGGCGGTTTAATCAGAGTGAGTTATGATGAAGATGATGATAGCGCTTGTTCCTGGTTTATTCCAAAGGAAATTGAAGAGATCTAAATCAGGAGACAACAAACGAAAACGTGTATTATTTTGAATTAATAAGGGTTCCAAGGAAAAGTAAAGTCCCTGCTTTATTGCCGTTAATCCAATCACCGAATAACGCGCGAATCAGCAAAATTAATAAAATAATTTTTTGCCATCCTTACAATCAACAATTCATGACTAGTGATTTATTAATACCATTTTTCAC